TCCGAGGGGCGGGGACCAGGGCGCCGCGGCCCACTCACCCGGCGGCCTGGGAGCAGGGATGCTGCGGCTCCCCCCGCTCCCGGGAGCCGCCGACGAGTTCTTTTGTGTGCAAAAGGGTGGCAGCGGCAGGGTGGCGGGGTGGCCCCGGGAAATCGCCTTCCCGCCTGCCGGGGGGAGGTGGAGGGGGTGGAAGCAGCTCGTTTCCAGAGACGAGCTTTTCCAACTGCTTCTTGCCCTTTTTTTTTTATTTTTCTTTGCTATTTTACGTTGTCAGTTTTTCCTGCGTTGGGTTTTTGTTGTTGTTTTATGGTTTTTTTGGTTGCTTGGTTGGGTTTTTTGTGGTCTTTTTTTGGGGGGTTGTTTTTTGTTTGTTTGTTTGTTTTTTGCTTCCAAGGCTTAAGGAGGTGGGAGTTATGTGTGCGCCGATTAAAAACAAAATGGGACACCCGGGGCAATGTCTTCTTTCTGCTTTTTCAGACAATTTTGTGGCCGAATTTTGTGGCTGCCTCGAGTTATTTGTGTATTTCGTGCTTGCATCTCTTACCTTTATGTAGTTGTAAGCGTCTCTTGGCTTCGTCCATCGCCCTCCTTCCTTCCCCATTGCCCTTGATTTTTTTTTCTCTCCCCCTCTTTATGTCTGCAGGAGGTTTTCTCTGGCAATCCTCCGGAGGCTTCTAACTTCACTTTAGAGGTCATACAACAAAGTAAATCTATCTTAAATCTAGGAACTCCTGGGTTCAGAATGCTGAGCTGGAAGGGATGTTAAAAAGGTGTCCTTAGGTCCAAACGTTCCATTTTACAGATAGAGAACTAAGGCCTAATAGAACATACGTGATTTAACTAGGGGTTATGTGGCTTGTAAAAGGTACACGCCTTTTGACACCGGAACTGTCATTCAGAGATCTCTCTCCATTTCCAACGGCCCCACCCATTTCTTTCCTTTCCATTTAAAAACTCATCAGGCCTGGTGATGTCCCTCCGCGGGTAAAGGTCCTGGCTGTGAAGCCAGATAAATTCAGTCCCTAGCATTCTCATGGAGAAAAGAGAGACCCAACTCCTGGTTAATAATCCTCGATCTACCCAGTGCCTCTGGCTACCCCCACCTCCACCTCCAACCCTGCCAACAAATAAATAAATAAACATTTTTTAAGGGCATCAGATGCAGATTGGTCTGAAATGATTAAAAAAAAAAAAGTAACATCTGTTCTCGTTACAGCTGTAAAAGCTTGGTTGCTTCTGGGTGGTGGTGGCACACACCTTTAATCCTGGCACTCGGGAGGCAGAGGCAGGTGGATCTCTGTGAATTTGAGGCTAGCCTGGTCTGCAAAGTGAGTTCCAGCACAGCCAGGGCTACACCAAGAAACCCTGTCTCGGAAAACCAAAAGAAAAAAAAAAAAAGAAAGAAAGAAAAGAAGAAATTTTTGATGATTTCTCAATTGTAACTTTAGAGTACCTTTTTTTACTTGACAATTTTCAAAATTTGGAAGATTCGTGTAAATTAGAAAGGGAAAATATAATAACTCTAGATCTTATTTTTACATTTATTTATTTACTTATTTTGTGTGTGCACATGCGTGTGGACAAGTCCATGCCATGGCTCATGGATGGAAGTCAGAGGACAGCTCAGAGAGTCATTTCTCTCCTTCCACGGTGTGCATCCTTGAAATCAAACTTAGGTGTTATACCTACTGAGCCTCACACTGTCCCTCTAGCACTTAGTACCTTCTATACAGCAATCTTTTTGTTAGACATTGTATGGTCACTGTGTATATGGATGAAAGAGTGGAGACTTGGGTTTTTGTAACAGCTCAATGCTGAGTAGCCACTAACCCTGAGACAAGTCTTTGACCTCAGTTTTTGTTTGTTTGTTGTCTTGTTTTTGTTTTTGTTTTTGTTTTGTTTTTGAAACAGGGTTTCTCTGTGTAGCCCTGGCTGTCCTAGAACTTCCCTCTGTAGACCAGGCTGGTCTGGAACTAAGAGATCTGCCTGATTCTGACTCCCAAGTGCTGGGATTAAAAGGCATGTGCCACCATGCCCAGCTCTCATCATAATTTCTTGATGGAAGTTCTAAAATCTTTTCGAATCAAATCTACATAGAACAGAAAGTCCAAATGTCTTGAGGAGAACTTCAACAATAAGTTACATGTTGCATAGAAACTACCTTTCCACCTCCCTGTGCTGGTTTCTAATTGCTACTTGTAACAACTTGGTAACAATGTCAGGGGGCCTGAAACAACAGATTCATTATCCTCCAGTTCTGGAGGTCAGAAGTCCAATTCAGGTTTTTACAGGGCTGTTCCAGTTACCTTTTCTTTTGCTGTAATAAAACACTGATGAAAAGCCACTTAGGAAAAGGTATTAGGGTTCTCTAGAGTAACAGAACTTATAGAAGGCTTTTTTTTTTATGTATATAGAAAGGGGAGTTACTAGAATGATTTACAGAGCTGGGCAGTGGTAGCTTTAATCCCAGCACTCAAGAGGCAAAGGCAGGCAGATCTGTAAACAGAAGTTTCTGTCCCACCAGCAACTCCCAAATACCCAGCAGCCACTTCCCAAATTACCACACAGAGGCATAATATAATTAATCATATTAATTATAAATGCTCAACCGATAGCTCAAGCTTATTAGTAATTAGCTCTTACATTTTAAGTTAACCCATATTCCTTATTTACACTCTGCCGCTTAGCGGTACCTTTATTAGCATGACACATTCATCTCCTGCTCCCTCTGCGTCTAGCTGGCAACTCCTGACTCTGCCCTTCTCCTTTTCATCATCCTTAGTTTGATTGCCCCACCTACACTTCCTGCCCGGCTACTGGCCAATCAGCATGTTATCAAACCAAAGTTTAATAAAACAAAGAGTGACAAATTTTTACAGTATACAAGAGGATTGTTCCACAGCACAAATCTCTATGAGTCTGAGGCCAGCCTAGTCTACAGAGTGAGTTCCAGGACAGCTAAGACTAAGTCAAGACTACAGAGGGAAACCCTGTCAAGGAAGAAAGAAAAAAAATTATTTACAGATTATGGTCCAGCTAATCCAACAATGGCTTTCTGTGAACAGAATGTCAAGAATACAGTTCAGCCCACAAGGCTAAAAGTCTCAACAGTTCTTCAGTATATGCTAGAATCCTGAAAAAGTAGGCTCTAAAGCCAGTGAAGAAATGGACTTGCTAGTAAGGCAAGAGCAAGCAGGCAAAGAATGAAGGTTCCTTCTTCCATGTTCTTATATAGGCTTCCACCAGAAGTTGTGGCCCAGATGAGAGGCAGGTCTTCCCACCCCAAAGATCTGGATTACAAGTATATGTTCCCACTTCAAATTAAGCAAAAATCCCTCACAGGTGTGCCCTGACATTTTGAGTTAGTTAATTCCAGATGTAGTCAAGTTGACAACCAAAAATAGCTACCACAAAGGGTTTTTTATAATTATTTATTTGTATTTCATTTGCATTGACATTTTGCCTGCATATATGTCTATATAAGGGTGTTGGATCCCCTGGAACTGGAGTTACAGACAGTTGTGAGGTGTTAGGTGAGTATTGGGAATTGAACCTGAGTCCTTTTTTAGAACAGTCAGTGCTCTCAACTACTGAGCCATCTCTCCAGCCTCCACAAGGGGTTTTTTATAATACACTTTTCAGGTCCTTGAGGGGATGTCAAGACAAGCACTCAATTCAGGAGCTTGAAGCAGAAACTATGGAGGAATGCTGCTTACTGGCTGACTCACAGGCTCATGCTCAGCTAGGTTGTTTTGTTTGTTTGCTTGTTTTTGTACAAGCCAGGTCCACTAGCCTAGGGACGATGCCTCCCAGAGTAAACTGGGCCCTCCCACATTATTCATTTGTCAAGATAGTATCTCACAGACCTAGCCACAGACCAATCTTATCTAGGCAATTCCTCAATAGAGTGTCCTCTTCCCAGGCTACTCTGACTTATGTCAAGTTGACAAAAACTAGCCAGCCAAAGGCCTACCAAAGTACTTTGGGAAGTCGGAAAGAAGATGGTCCTGCTAGTCTTTGATGCATCTGCCTGTTTTCAAAGACACAAAACAGCATTCTCTTTTCTTTCTCTTTTTCACCTGTGTGGCCATGCAACCTCAGTTCCCCTTCAAATAATCACCGTGCAAGAAAACAGGCAGCTGTCTCAGTTCCAATTACAAATCCAAGGAGAAAGCAACCAATTGCCTCATTAAAATTAGGGGGCTGGAGAGATGGCTCAGAGGTTAAGACATTGGCTGCTCTTCCCAAGGTCCTGAGTTCAATCCCAGCACCCACATGGTGGCTCACAGCCATCTGTAATGAGATCTGGCTCCCTCTTCTGGCCTGCAGGGATACATGCAGACAGAACACTGTATACATAATAAATAAGTAAATCTTTTTTAAAAAAAAAATTAATTGCTGGGCGGTAGTGACACACACCTTTAATCCCAGCACTCAGGAGGCAAAGGCAGGTGGATCTCTGTGAGTTCAAAGCCAGCTTGGTCTACAGAGTAATTAGGTCCATAATCTAATTTACATGTCTTACTAAAAAAGAGCATCATAGATCCCCATGACAGGACAGCCAGAGCTACCTAGAGAAACCCTGTCTCAAAAAATTTTTTTCATTGTGAAAAAGAAGAGATATTTTATTATGACATTTTCACAAGTATATGTCATATACTTCAATCATCATTTTCACACACCACTGCTGTTACCTACCCTTGTACATCCTTTCTTCCTTCTGCTGGTCCCTTTCCCCATCTCAAGTAGTCTGCCTTCTATTTTAGGGTCTTTTGTTTTTGTTGTTGTTTTGTTTTGTTTTGTTGTCTTTGGAGGCAAGGTTTCTCTGTGTAGTCCTGGCTATCCTGGAACTCACTCTGTAGACCAGGCTGGCCACGAACTCACAGAGCTCCTTCTGCCTCTGCCTCCTAAGTGCTGGTATTAGAGGTGTGGGGCCTTTCTTCTCTATCTTTCTTTCTTCCTTTCTTTCTTTCTTTCTTTCTTTCTTTCTTTCTTTCTTTCTTTCTTTCTTTCTTTCTTTCTATCTCTCTGTTACTAAAATTCTTGATGACAGCCATTCTGACTGGTGTGAGATCCAATTCCAACTTAAGTTTTTACAATAATGTTTAATTATCTGGGGGAAGGAGAAGAATGCTGGGGGGGGGGCAGGGGCAAGTACCCAAGGAGCTGGTTCACTCCCTTCACCATGTGGATTCCAGGGACTGAACTCAGTCTGTTAGTCCTTCCTGGCAACTCTCTTTATCTACTAAGCTATCTTGTCAATCTCCCAAAATGTAATTTTGATCTGCAATTTCCTAGTGGCTACAGATATTGAAATTTTTTTCCATATATTTATTGGCTATTTGTATATCCTTTAATGCAGGAATTCAGCAGAATCACTCTGTCGGGGTAGATATTAGAACGAACAGCTGTTTTTCAGAAGTACCTTAACCTTGTGGAAAACAGGAATCATTTTTGCTGAAGGGGCATTGCAGCCATTTCATGACTTTGGTCACAAGACACCTCACACCTGAGGCTCTTGCATTATTGTGGATTGCAAATGATACATCATAAAGGACTAGAGTCATGGGGGCATGTGATGCTCTCCTTCAGTAAGACATG